GTGAGTGTACGGTTTCCTTACTCCTTTCAGGATAATAATTTCCATCTCTTAATGATATGCAGGCAATGCAAAGTGTGGACATTACAATACCGTTAAAAAATAGGATGTGTCTTGCAGGAAATGTAACCGGTGGTAGCTGGACCTCAAAATACCTGTTCGTATGGGCACCCAGAAGCTCTGGTGCCTCTCCAAGCCTCTTGGGTCTTAAAAATGTCTCGAGGTCTCATGAGATCAAGCTCTCTCACAAGATGCCTGTTGCTTCCTGTTTTCATTTTGGCCAGAAATAGATTAACAACGGTATTTCCTACTCTGCTCCAACCAGAAAAAGGAGTTAAGAAGTATTCCGTGATGAAAAATATTTTTCAGACTATCTATCCAAACTTCCCTAAAGGTTCAGTTGAAGTTTTAGGCACCGGTTCAAGTAGCTGTTGTTGGATCCAAATAACTTTATCCAACCTTATTCACAATCCGGCTCTAAAAATTCTTGGGATACAAACTCACAAGCCTGGGAATGATTTATTTGTGCCAATTCTTTTAAATACATTCAATTTTAATTTACAAGAGCGCAAGAAAAAATCGGAACTTTGTGGTTTCCAGTGGTTTTAGTATGAACATTCCTACTTTGGGATGAAGTATTGCTGGCTTTTTATCTAAAATGTGTATTACAGTTTTTCTGGCATTTAACAATGGATTTAACTGAGGTGCTGGGAGGGAAAAGGGAGAAAGAGCAATTTAATTTACTGTACTTTTGGATGAGGATTCTAGGTAATAAATTTGATCTGATGAATCAATCTCTCTTTTGAAAACAAAGAGCCTTTAACTGTTTACTCGACAGACTGCAGGGATTCAGGGAGAGTTCTTGCTGCTTATTGGGTAGATAATGCAGATTGCAGATGATGTGCAGATGATGCGCATTTTGATGAATATTTTCCCACTAGACTGCAACTGTTTCTATCTATTAATTTAGATCTAATGGGAAAAGTGTGTTCCTGGGTAGTTTTAAGCTAGGACTTTTTAAACAGTTAACGCATCGTGGATGCTTTTTTCTGTCTGCCTAAGATCTATTGCTGAAATGAACTTTTAAGTGAAGGTAGCATCTGAGGTTCCTAACTTCCATCTATCCCCAAAGAAATCACAACCTGAGCGAAACCAGTGCTTGCATTCACACCTGGGTGCCTCACTTCTGGCTGACAAAGGAGAGAATATTTACATTTTCTTGATCTTTCCGACTGGGTTGCTACCAGAGTTACCCGATGGGATGGTGGCGCGCGCGGTGCTTTTGGTGCTAACAACATCTCTCGAAAGCGGACGTTTTTTGTAGTCTGCGGCAAAGGTGGTAACCGCAGGTGGGGCTGCATGCGGTCACGGTTACAGCCTTAAAAGAACACAGTCCATATAAACCTTCCGCAGAGTATCCTGACAAGAATGACTATTTAGCTAAGATGAGTGTTCAGCAAAATAAAAAATGAATGAATTAAGAGCCTTAGACTAAGTTCCAGATATTTTAGCTGTTGCGAGCTGGTGCAGTTCCATTGCACACAGGGAAGCGCTGCAGATTTGAACCAGATGACGGTCTGGCGCTCAGTGCACAGTCCTGGAATTTTGAATGGCTTTATAGTAATGTCTTTAACTGATTTCTTAGGTGCGGATTTTGCAAATTGGGCAAATTTTGCTGTTTTGAACTTCTTTCTAATGCGTAAATGCAAATATGTATGAAACTGTAAGGAAAATCCGTTCGTTTCTTCTTTCCTGGGGTCATCTTTTGTCTTTATCGCTAAGTAAAGATAGATTCAAGATCTCAAGATTCAAAAGAATCATGAGAATGTCAGGAGCTTCTCCCACTGGAATTAAATTGTAGTAAAGTTACGTTACTAACAACGCTTTAACGGAAATATATATTTAAAACACCTTTTGAGGGAGACAAAAGCCTATATCCCAGCAATAAGAAAATAAAAAGATAAAGCCAGCGCCTGCCTGGCCGAGAAACTTCTGCCTGCTTTGCTTTATCCTGAAGTGACAGGGTGACTGAGATAGTCTCTGGAAATTACAGCTGCCATTGAGAGCGAAGCCAAGCCTCACTGTATTTCAGAAAATGAAAATGATGTAGCCCTAGAGGAGGGAGGGGCTGAATCCCCAGGGCATCTGTTTCCCATCAGTGTCCCACCATGCTTGCAGTCTGGCTTGGCACTCTAACATTTAACCTTCCCAGCATGAGGTAGACCATAGGGCAACAAGGCTGCAGAATAATGAAACAAGAGTGTAGTGTGGTGTACAAAGCCTTTGTGAGCAGAGAAGTTGAGACATTAAATGATCAGGGTACAGAGATATGAAAGTTCCAGATTTTTCTAAAAAGCCCCCATTAGTCTCACGCAGAAGGAAGAGCGCGCCGTCTCTCAGCAGGCAAAGGCAAGGCCTTTCCCCATCTATCCATGCCTTTTTGCCCGCTGCTTTCAACTATTATAAAGATACAATTACCTTGGGAGATTGTGGCAGTTCAGTTGATTAGCACGGTGAATTAAAAGAATGAGTCACAAATGACATGTCCAGCTCTTCTCTACTAGTCCTTTGTATTCCCAGTATACCTCACCCCTGTTGTAAGAAGGTCAAAAATTAGAGAGAGATAACAATTTTCAAGCAGCTAGCACTTAGGAGCAGAATTAACAATCATTCTGTATGTAATTGCCAGTTAATAGTAAATTGCCTTCTAGACTGTAAAATGCAATATAAACTGGTGGGCACCTAAAATTAAATTAATGAGGTATTTGCTGCATTTAAAAGTGAATAGTGCAAATTAATAACTGGGTACAATACTTGTTTTAATATATATCGAACAGTGCATTGTTTGCTTGTTTAATAATAATTTTAAAAGTGCTACCTGAAAAACTCTCCATCTCTCTGAGTAAATCGAGTGTTTTGTGCAGGTTGCAGCCATAATTTTGCTGGTAAAGTCTTCCAGGTTTCTAAATTAAATATCAGAGATTATTTTTTAATTAGAATATAAGCACTGCAGTGTTATTTGATTATGGCAAATTGTGATTTGTATGCTTCTAAATGAAATTATGTTACAGATAAAATTGCACCTTTATACACATATTTTAAGCTCTGTAGATTCTGTTGGTTTACTTTAAGATGAGCGGCAGTACTGTATTTACAATGTATTTGTGCCTCTGCGTTACTGTTTTCTCTAAGTGTGTATTTTGCATAATGATTTCCTAGCGAATAAAGGAAGTATAGCCCGACCCAGTGTATATTAAAATAGTTTCAAAGAATGCTATTTGGCACCTGGAACTTTTAATGCTGACTGCTTTCACCCTGATGTTTCTGTTGCACGCCCTTACTTTGATAACTTCTTTTGCTCAAAGAAATGACCCAAATTGTCAGGAGACAGCAGATCATTTGCAGTAGACTACCCGGTTGCCGTACAAGGTATTGGCATTCGATTGCAAACATGTCCAAAGCAGACGTAGAGAAAGCGTGAATGTTGAATACATGGAACCATTCCCAGGTCTGCAATGCATTTGCTAGATGTGAACATAAAAATGGTTATTTTGCACAAAGACTTGCATTCAATTTTAAGCTTATGAAACCATTACTCAACCAGTAATCACTCACAGTTTGTGTTCCTTCTGATAGAGTATTTATGTTGAAGAAGCAGGGCCGGGCTCTCAGGCTGGCACAGCACCAAGGGGGGGAAGCCCTCTTTAGTCCCTACATTGTCCCAGATTTTTCGGTTTGGCTCGGTTTTGCCTCGGTATGGAGGCCTCCGCTTTGGCTGGGTTCCCTCGGTTAACCCCCGCTCCACTTCCCCCTCTGAAAGATCTCGTGTTCCTCAAGTATTTTCGAGATCTTTTGTGTGCATTCAAATGTGATTCTGTCAATGGCGCTGTTACACTGTTTAGAGTCAATAGCTCCCTTCCATCACAGCCAACACAAACTAGCTGTCTCATAGGTCAGTGCTCTTTAAACAAATTACTTGTATCCACAGAGCAAATGATTGTTAATTGCCTCCCACAAATCATACTATTTTTACTATGCTAAACTACATGCTAATGCCTTAGTTAAATTTAAATCACCTGATTATTTCTTGTACATATTCAATTATTGTTCTTAAGTATGAAACCTGGTGACTTTGCAAAAGGAATGCTAAAGATATATAGAATGGATACAGGACTTTATTGGAAAGCCTTAAAAAAAAAGCACAGTTGCATTCATTTTAATGAAATCCTCAGCATTTCTAATTAATGTATATTGCATTTCCTTTTTTTTTTTCAAGTGCTGTTGTCCTGAAGCAACTTACAGTCACTGTTATTACAGTATTGGTTATTTATTGATCAGAGCTTGTGTCAGTATCGGTTGTTAGCAAGCTGAAAAAAATCAAGATAGAACGAATATTCTTGCCCTTTCTTCAAGATGGGTCTTTCTAAGTCAGTCAAAGTTAGCATTAAAGAGTCAAAGCCAGAAAGTACCACTGTTGATGTGTTTAACCGCTTTATTGCGCTAGAGTACAATGTATTTTTCTTAAAACAGTAATGTCGAAGAGAAAGAGATCCCAGTTAGCTGTCTTTTCTTATACAGAAGGTTTTTCAGCATGACATACATTTTTTAATTAATAGGGCAATGCTAAACATACAGAAATGATTTAGTAGCATCAAGTCAACAGCATGTTGGATAATGTATATTACATAATAGCTCTTTTTTAAACAGTAGCAATTCCAGGTTTATCAGGGTCATTGTTGTCCCCTTTCTTTTCTGTCTCAAAGGAGGCCAGAAGAATGAGACATACCATTTGTGCTATTGCACAAGTAGACTATTTGTCCTAATCAGTGACACCCATTTACTAGAATTGCTTAAAATGAACTATACCTCATACAGAAATCGCACATTTAGAGTGTTCCATTCATCATCTGAAAATTGAGGGCCAGTAAACTTTTCTGTTCCTCCAGCGGGATCATAGACATGCATCAAAATGTTAAAAAATGATTGGTGAGAGAGAACTGTCA